TAAAAGGTCTTCTCATCCAGGGTTGAGTGGACTGTGGTTTCACTTATCTAGGACTCATCAACACTCCAAGTGGGAATCGAACCCAAGTAATTTAGAGTATAATCTCAAAATGTAACCACAACGCCAAATTTGCACGAGTGTCCCTGGGCCATAGGACAGAAATGAATTTCAAGAAAGTCCTACCCTATCTATATCACATTTTATAGTGGGATTGTCGATGTGTTTGCCATTAAAATGGACTAAGTCACTCACATTTGTATAGAGTAGTCTTCTAGACTATCAGTACATTTTGAATAAAAGTTTCTTTTCAGAACCAGGGCTATGTGAAATGCAGTAAAAACGTGAGGCATACTCACATCATTTTTGGAAAATTAAACTATCACCCTTTGCGAATTAGGGCGTCTGGAATTCTCATGTAAGATTAACTGATAGTTTCAAAACCTACTTTAAACAAATATATCTATTTGACACTTGTATCTATAATAACAGGTGTAAATATTTTCTGAAAAAATCAGTAAATCTTACATTTTAATCCAGCTTGAGGCGCTGATGAAATTGAAGAGAGGATAAAACTGTAGTTCAGCGTGGATGAGAAAACCTCTTGGGCGATAAGTCTAAGTTGAATGTTATGGTATTGCAAAACATAGTTTTATCATTGTGAGAAACTTGGTTATCATTCCTTAGTTCACCTCAACTAACCCAGGATCAACATGCTCCTATTCGAAATGTACTCACGTCGGATATGCACAAGGAAATGGTATGGAGGCCATGAAGATTGAATTGTGTATATTCCTTAGTGCAATAAGAGTCTGAATCAGGAGGAGAATAAAAATAGGGATAAAAATAAAATGTCTAAGACTAAGGGACGGAAGCAAGTTTTAGATTGAATGGCAAGAATGATTGACGGTTCTCTGTCAGTTGCAGCCCGCATAAAGTGACAAACGTATTGATGCCAGTTCTGCCTACGATCCATTCAATCAAACTTTATTCAGCTGTTAAATCCTCCTTCTATAGCGTTACGCATCCCTATCCTGTCCTAGCAAATTAGCTACCATTTCATTCCCGACAAAAACTTTGCTTCTCACAGGAGCCTCTTCGCAGTGCCAACGTAAATAGGCTGCCGTGGTGACAGTAATGCTCTATGGCCGAGAGTCAGGCAGCCCTGGTGCCGCGGTCGACGCCAGTATAGTGGTCAGCGACGGTGGTTCTGGAAGTGCCGGTGAACTGTACACAAACCACACTGCAGGGCAGCAGAATCAGCATCAGCACCAACACCAGCATCAGCACCAACACCAGCATCAGCAGCAACAACAACAACAACAACAACAACAGCAGCAGCAAGAGGAGGGAGACTGCCTGGACGACCGCCGCCTTTTGCCAGCTGAATGTATGGACCACGAACGTGCTTTCATCCGTCAAGCTGGCACAGGAGAAGAGCACGACTACTTTGAGCAGTCGGGCAACAGTCCGACGGCAGTGCTTACGTATCCGGGAGAGCTCTTGCCCGCAGGCGGTATCGGTGCCGATGGCAGTCTCATACCGGCCGACCAGGCGGCAGTCAGTCTGGGCTACTTCACCTTGCCGACGGGGCAACTGGCTGGTGCTGCACAAGCCTACCAACTGACGCCCACTTGCGACTATCTTCCCGTAGTCAGCCCGGCAGCGTATGCAGCTGCCTTGGCGGCGGCAGCCGCCGCCGCCAACCACGGCTATGCTACCGGCGGAGGTGGGCAACAGAGCGCTGCCGCTGCGGCCCAGTACCCCGGACAACCGACCCATCTGCCCCAGGTCCAGCAGACCGTGGCCCTGGGGCAGGGCGTAGCCACACGCGGTCTGCTCTCACCGCAACACCAGCCTCTGCTGATGATGACGAGCGACGGCT